GTGTCAGGGCCCCCCAGGCACATACCTGGGATTGGGGGGCAGGACGGGGTTGGGTGTCAGGGCCCCCCAGGCACATACCTGGGATTGGGGGGCAGGACGGGGTTGGGTGTCAGGGCCCCCCAGGCACATACCTGGGATTGGGGGGCAGGACGGGGTTGGGTGTCAGGGCCCCCCAGGCACATACCTGGGATTGGGGGGCAGGACGGGGTTGGGTGTCAGGGCCCCCCAGGCACATACCTGGGATTGGGGGGCAGGACGGGGTTGGGTGTCAGGGCCCCCCAGGCACATACCTGGGATTGGGGGGCAGGACGGGGTTGGGTGTCAGGGCCCCCCAGGCACATACCTGGGATTGGGGGGCAGGACGGGGTTGGGTGTCAGGGCCCCCCAGGCACATACCTGGGATTGGGGGGCAGGACGGGGTTGGGTGTCAGGGCCCCCCAGGCACATACCTGGGATTGGGGGGCAGGACGGGGTTGGGTGTCAGGGCCCCCCAGGCACATACCTGGGATTGGGGGGCAGGACGGGGTTGGGTGTCAGGGCCCCCCAGGCACATACCTGGGATTGGGGGGCAGGACGGGGTTGGGTGTCAGGGCCCCCCAGGCACATACCTGGGATTGGGGGGCAGGACGGGGTTGGGTGTCAGGGCCCCCCCAGGCACATACCCAGGAACGAGGGCTGGGGCTGGGTGTCAGGGCCCCCCGGGCACATACCGGGGAAGGGGTGGAGGGTGGGGGTCAGGGCCTCCCAGCCACGCAGTCCCCGGAGGGGAGGGTGACAGGTCTGAGTGCTGGGCGCTCCTTACGGCTGCCTGTTCCCTCCACATATCCATTGCAGTTGGCAGCGTGTTGCCCTGTCCTGGGCCCCTCCTCCCCCGTCCCGGGGCTGCTGGGGGCCTGCTCTTTTTGGGAGCTGGATGTGGCTGCCAACGGTGACATGCTGCCCTGGGCTGCGTGGGAGGCTGTGGCAGGGAAGGGTTAACTCGTCACTGCGCTTCCATCCCTGGACCCTGTGTTCCAGCAGCGGTTCCGTGCGGGGGAATGACATAGCAGGGGGGCTTTCTGGGGGCTGGGCTGTGTGGGAACCAGTGATGATTCATTGGTGTAGTCATGACATTTCTAGCTGGATACTCCAGGCTGGCAGCCAGCCTGGGCACTGGTGGCTCTCCCTGCCCCGGTACAGTCTTGCTGAGGCTGTCTTGTCAGCCTTACCAAACTTGGTCTTGCTTGCTGGTATTGGGCTGCGGGTGACTCTGTTCGGCTGACATGCCCGCAATTCTGCTCTTCTGGAGTCGCATGGAGAGGTACCTTCTGGGCTATTATTTCTCTCATTCAAAGATTGTGATCTATGGCCAAGACGTAGGGTGAAGAAACTTTTGTGTTTAGTTGCACTCCCATGTATCGGTGTGGGGCTGCCTGTCTGTTCTCCTGGATTCCTTAGGGGCGTCTGGGTCTTTCCCTGGCCTGCCTTGCTGATCCGTGTGTAATCCGTGTCCTTTGTGTGCATGAAATAACAATTGTTCAGCCAGCGTGAAATTGTCCCAGTTCTAAAGAGCTGGTGGGTCTGGGTTTCTCTAGAATTCAGCCGTTTGTGTTGGATTCTGCCGAGGGGACAGAACGTTGCACGTTGTTTGGGGGGGTTGTTTTGTTTCATTGTTTGTTTGGGAGGGGGGTTGCTAATTTGCAGACCGTTTTATATCCAAATGTACAAAGTGCTGTGCCTGGAAGTTCCAGTACTTCAGAGCCAGTCCCAGCCCTGTGTCAGCGCGGAGTTAACAACTGAGGAAAGTCAGGGACTTCCTGGGGGCAATGACTTAATTTCAGATGCAGTATTTTCTCAGGTGAGGCAGGAAGCAGTGAGCGTCAACTGTCTGTTACATGAGTGACAGCAAAGGTCGTTCTAGCTGTCTGGTGTGTGGAAAGGAAAATCTTTGTTTATTATCCCGCGTTTGGTCTTTTATCTGCGAGATCCTGCATGACAGGGGAACAACTCAGTGGTACTGGTAGCTGGCAGCCAGAGCAATAAACATATGCAGGAGGGTGACTTTGAAGAAGTTCTGTGCTATCCAGTCTGCAAGACGCATCCCTCAGGTGCCCCAGTGCTGGGCGCGTTAGAGATGCGTGGGCACTTGGGAGAGTCCCTCTCGGAAAATGTCCGCACGCCCTCAGGGAGAAGGGACGGAGCAATGACCGTAGTGTGCTGGCAGGTAGGGGACAGGCACGTGCTAAGCCTGGAGTCAAACGGGAGGACATGGAGGGCCATAATGCTTAATGTGTCTCTTTTCTGACTTAAAAAGTGTCACTCGCCCTACTTTTCTCTGTCTCTGATTTGTCCTTGGGGTACAGTGGCACTGACGCAGTCGAGCTGTGGAACAATTAATTTGTGGTGAAGCCGAGGGCTGGTATATTCCCTGT